TTTCTAGCAGGTCAGATTATTTTTCGGTGAGTCCGGGGTGCTTGACTAAGATTTTCATCTTGGCTTCTTCGAGTACCTTTGGTTACTGTTGCTGGTGCTGTTTTGCCCGATAGGATGTTTTCCTTCTGTAGATCTATTTTCATTTTTGTTCTTAGGTTATGTGGGGGAAAATATTTTTGTTATGCCCATAGCATCCACACCAAAGCAAATTAGATTTAAACTTTCATATTCTACGTTATATAATTTCATCCCTGATCAATAGCTTGGGTACCGATTTTTTTGGAGATCAATTTCAACACTAATTCTCACGAACTTCCCTCTTTCCGTCTTCCCCTGTTTGTCTTTAGAATCAGACTCAAATAAAGAGTTGGAATTGACTTTCAGAGTTTTTTCCAATACAATTTCCTAATCTTCATAGAATTTCTTTATCATAGCATTGTATGGGGATATTAGATAATCTGACCCATAGTACGACCTTGCCTAAGATATTTGAGTTCGGATTGAAGTGGGTGCCCAATGTTGCACAAGAATACAGTGGTCAAAAATTGTCCAAGGGCCACCGTTCAGGATTTTATCATAGGTAGATTGATCATTGGTTCTTAATAATGTAATAACAATTAACCAGATCAATCAATTCATAATCTCTTAGTTGCCACATTTTAGCTAACCTGGGCTTTAGAGATTTAGGATTGAGATGTAATCCCAGAGTATTGATGACTATGGCATCCATCCATAACAAGCATATATTCTTCCATTCCTCATTAGAGATTTGGAGAGTTGGGTGCTGGTGTATTAGTTTTTTTGTTCTTTTAGATGGTGACCAATCTGTCTCTAGTTCTTTTACAAGTGCTTCGTTTCTATGGTTAGATTCCTTTCCAGTTTTGATTCCATAGCAACCATTGTAGCCTATCAGTGACTCCTTATAAGAGATAGGAGCTTCAATTCCTTGAGGCATTGAAGTTTTATTATGGTTTACATTTTCAGCAGGGCCATCATGTGATTGCACTTCTATTTGTTGGTCTTGATGATTCACATCGCTGTCCATGCTTATCTGTTGAGTCTGGATTTGTGAATGATGTTGAGTTTCTAGATGTGAATGTTGTTGAGCTTCTGTTTCTTTATCGATCATCACATCATTTGCTTTAGAGTTGTTTCTGTGCAATAAATAAGTTTCTCCTTGGACGCAGGTGGATTCATAGACTCTTTATATGATTGTGTAGTTGAAAAGATAAAGTTTGGATTGATTGCTTGTTTGGTGATCATGAAGTAGGGTAGAGTAGAGCAGAGTAAACACTGGATCAAGAGACAAGAAGAGAAAGACAAGGGAGAAGTAAACCTTCTCTCCAGGAAACTAGAGAGAGGGTAGAGCTTCTCTCTCTAGCATTTCATAGATAGACGTGCATTTATTTTATTTTTTTAAAGCTAACTGTCTTAAGGGAAAACTTCTGACAAATCTATAGCACACATAGCCAACAAGTGTTTTGTGAAAGGAGGCTAAATATCTATTCTTGCATATAAAAACAGAAGTCTTAGTGCGCATGCGTTTATAATATCTTTTGCATACAAATAATAATAATAATAATAATAATAATAATAATAATATTTAAATTGAACAGTGTGAATGATTATGGAATAAAATGAGGTATTATTTTTTAATAAAAATTAATTATTATTAATAACAATTAAGTAAATTAGAAAACTAAATTTCAGTGAATCTTGGGCTCAAAATTTAAAGATAAAAATTATTCAAATTCAAGTTAATGGTAAAGCCTTCAATTTAAGATGATGATGATTTACCGTTCAACCATAATTCTGTTGGGCTTTCTTTTATTTATTTATTTCCTTCCCTTTGCATTGAGGGCTTTTTATTTCCAATCATGAGTGATGAGCCCATCTGCGCGATTCTGCCAAGCTGTTATTAGTGGCTGCTATCATGTAACCAAAGCGAGGCGCAAATAATTGACGGTATTTGCGGCGTGATTCTTGAAGACTGGGACTCAGTCATTTGGAAACGATTGGCTGGGGTCTCATGCCTTGCTAGGGTTTTAAACCCTCGCCTCGTTTTCGGAGGGTTCTCCGCACGGCGGAGCGATGCCGTCTATGGCAATCTTTTCTCGGCACAGGCCGAGTGTGAGGGAGGGTTTCGTTTGGCTCGGTGCGTTTGTGCACTGGGCAATTCGGTTTTGTGTGTGGGCATTCTCAAAGAGGGTTGATGTCAATTTTGGGATATTGGTCTTCGGTAGAACGGTTGAACGATCTGAGGCAGAGGCGACTGGGATCTAAGGCAAGTTTGAGGATTTTGAAGGAGGAAATTGTGAGTTTGTGTTCTCTTTGTGCGATGAACGATGAAGGTGGTGGCAAATGCGCGTCGATGTTAGTGGCAAATGTGCGTCGATTTTCCCTCCTAATCACCTGTCCGCCACTTTCATTCCTTCCACTCTCTCTTCTAGAATGTCCTAAGCAAGAGACAGGGGGTGTACATGTATTTGATTCGGTCACAACCGAAGGCAGCACTAAGAAGGTGAAGGGGACAGTGCGCGTCTATTTGAAGTGCCATCTGTGACCCAGTTCATGTTGTTCTTGGTTGGCGGTGAGGGTCATCAAGGGAGGCGGAGGACAAATGAGAATGAGATCGACATCCACTCTGACCCCTTCAGGTTGTTTAAATATCTTGTCGCTTTTGCCCATTAACGATCTATATCAGAATATAGAAGCCAATAATCCCTGTCTTCTCCGCTGTTCTTCTTTATTTTTCTTCTTCAGTCATATTGCCATGCTTTTTTATTCCCCCCCCCCAAAGTTCTGATCAATTGTTCTTAATTACTTGTTCGTTTGTTTTCCTCCTTCATCTAGGATTTCTCCATTAAATTAACCTTTGGAAGAAGAATTTGCGATGGGGGAAAGGATTTGGGAGGAGTGAAGAATGGTAATTGATCCAACATCTCTCACGGTTAATGCACTTATATTTTGCTAAAAAAATTATCCTTTCTCTTCCTCTATGCTTCAATTACCCTACCGAATGATAGCATTCAATAGATACAAAGCTTGGTCATTTCTGTCGATTTTCCTTCCATTCTTCATTAGTTTTTAAACTTTAAGTCTTTCTCTCTCTGCATCATCCTTCCTTTACTTCTACAGTGCACCACAACCAAAACTCTTCACTATAGTCTAAATAGAATCATTTTACATTGTGCTCTTCAAATATGGTTTTCATGCTCATCATTTTCTTTTGGACATCGAGAAGAACCGCAGCACCCTCTTTTGGAAACTTGTGAATGTTGTTTGTATTATGTACTTGATTTTATATTGTGTCTGTATTGCTTCACAAAGTTTGGTTGATTGGATTACATCTCAGATTCCTTCATTTAATGGTGAATGGTCAACAGTTTTTATTTTGGGCTTATGATTAATATAAACTTGCTAATAGTCTTTTATTTGTGGGTGTTATGATTGATTGTTGGATGTGGTCAAATATATAGAAGAGCACTGAATATATCTTTTGATATATTTGAATTGGGTTTAACTTACATTGTTCCTTTGTGAGCAGTGATTTCTTACATTGAATACTCTATAGTGTATGAGATGTTAATTTGCTGCCAGAATAGAAAGCTGATTTGGTATTAAAAGTTTAAAACATATAATTTAGCATGTGTTTAGTCTTAATAGTATTTGCTAAACCACAATTAAATGCTTGATCTCCGTCCCCTTGTAATAAACTTGTGTGCTTAGGCATATGAGTTGGAACTTCAACATGAGTTGGGGCTATTGCATTTTGACCCTGTTGATCGGCATCATATACGTGGTTGAAGCAAGAAATTCTTTATTTGTTAGCCATCAAATAGGGTAATAAGTAGTAATGGATTTTTTTTATTGGTCTGAAAAAAAAAAACCAATCCATTACTTCAAAGAAAACAATATCATACTCACTGGCATGTTTTATTATGTGGACTTTGTGGTCAATGTCTGTAGTATGTATGGAACCAAGTTCATTGTGAACTTACTTGAGAGGAAAACAAGGTTTAACCTCCATTTTCATCTCAAGACGCGGCATAGAAAGCTATGCTCATGCATTTTCTGACAACTGTGGTGATAAATTATGTTTTTTAGAGTATACTTCAGGAAACAATACTCTGATTCTCTTTTGAGTTTACTTCAGCAAACAACACTCCAATTCTCTTTTGCTTGAATGGGAAAAAAAAGCTCGGTAAAATAAAATTTGACTTAAATTTTTTGGATGCAGCGCTCCTTGTGACATTGTTGGTGATATTAGCTATGAAGAATTGCAGGCAGCGGCATATGAGGATGCTAAGCATGGGATGACCTTCCAATCAATTGTAAATTGACAGTCAAGTTAATGTAACAGCTGGCCTCTTTTCACTCTCAATTTGGTAGTTTGTGATTATTCACACTGAAAAATTCCATCTAAAAATCTCATTGGGTAACTTGGTCTTTTCCAAAGTCTCCTCACTCATTTGGGCAGTTTTACCCTACTGGATTAATATTAATATCATTGCAGATTTTTGGTCAGAAAGAAAATATTCTCCTTACATTCGTGATGTATTGGTCTAGCTGTAAACAGTTGCATCAATATGTTTAACCTTTTTTTTTTTCCATATTCTTCTTGATTTTTTTTAACCTTTCGTTAATTCTTAGGAATTGATTTAAGCTCAAAAAATAATTACTCACTTGACTTTGGTACTGCTTGAGAAATTTCCCTTATGCTGACAAGTTGATAAGAACTTAGAATAGTAGGGATTAGGAAGAGTAATCTGCTAAGTTAGTCAGAGCAAGGATCTCACTCTAAATAACTTAACAGCCAAGTAGGAGAATCTCCAAAGGAGTAACGGGTTTACTTCTTCATTCATATCCTGCTGTGTATGGGAGCTTGGATATTTAAAATAAAGGAGTACAACTGAATAATTCAAATAATGCAAGATACTAGCCTAAAAATTAGGAACTAACACGCAGGAACCTCCCTAACAACCTTGAGGTCCTATTATTTAGCAACTAATACTTAAAACAGAATAAAAATTCAAATAACAATCCAAATAACAGCAATAATTAATTTAAATCAGATAAATCTCTTAAAACATGCATGACTGCATCAGTTTCAACTATCTTCCTCTTCTTTCTACGATGATAAGTTATTAGTGGTCTCCTAAGCTAACTTGGATCCTTATCATTACTCCCCCCTGAAAAAATGACTTGTCCTCAAGGTGGAAGGTTGGAAATTGCTGTGCAAAGAGATCATAATCTTCCCAACTTGATTCATCCTTTGGTCTGGATTCCCACTGGATCAATAACTCCAAATGAGGTCCCTTCCAGTGATGAGATAGTACTGTTTCAGGTGCCAAAATGAGTTCAAAATCCGTTGAGAGTGGCAATTCAGCTAGAGGGTCCAGAGGAGGCATCCCTGAGCTCCTCGCAATAATGAGACATGAAAAATTGGGTGAATTTTAGCTGTTGAAGGGAGCTTCAGTTCATAAGCCTTTGGTCCCACCTTGCAAACTATGCTATAAGGCCCAAAAAACCTAGGTGAGAGCTTGTCATGATTCTTGTGTGACAGTGAGCGTTGCCTGAAGGGCTGAATCTGTAAGAAAACTGTATCTCCTACCTCAAAAGAGAGCTCATGCGGATGATGGTTAGCATACATCTTCAGTTGGTGTTGAGCTTTGTTCAAATTATCCTTGAGCAGTTGCAGCATTTGGTCTCTAGTTTCCAATTGTACAGCAAGGTCATCAATATGAGTTTCACCTTTAATGAAAGGATGAAGGGGAGGTGGGTCCCTACAATACACCACCTTGAAGGGAGTAGTGTTGTGCCAACATGGAAACTGCTGTTGAATGAAAATTCAGCCCAACATAAAAACTTATTCCAAGAATGTGGCTGTTCATGTGCAAAACACCTTGGGCAAGTCTTAAGACAACGGTTGACCACTTCAATTTGCCCATCACTCTGTGGGTGGTAGGTAGTATTCATTTGAATGTGAGTTTGACTTAATTTGAACAATTCTTGCCAAAAGGCACTCAAGAAAAGTGAGTCCCTATTTGAAACAATGTAATGAGGTTTGCCATGCAAACGAACAATTTCTTTACAAAAACGAGTGGCCACAGATTTTGCAGTATGAGGATGTGATAGGGGAATAACATTGTAGTATTTACTCAGCCTAACAACTACCACCAATATAGTGTCCAAGCCACCAGATTTGGGCAACCCCACAATAAAATCAAGGGAAATATCTTCCCAAATTTGGGTAGGAATAGGTAAAAACTGCAAAAAAAACCAGCAGGAGATAGAGTTTCATACTTATTCTTCTGACAAGTAAAGCATTGCTGTGCTATAGCTTTCACATCATGTTTCATTTTGGGTCAGTAAACCGTATTTGATAGAAGCTTTAAAGTTTTTAAGAAGCCCCCATGACCCCCAGAAGGCGTCACATGTGCCTCTTGTAGCAGCTTGGAGTGAGGAGAGGAGCTTTGGGGAATGACCAAGCGCCCATTAAAATACAATTTCTGCTCAACCAAGCTGTAACCAGGGTGAGAGCTTGGATTTTCTTTCAACGCAGCAATGATAGCAGCTGTAAATGAGTTCAGCTATCAAAGCCTGCTGCAATTCTAGATACTTCAATGGTACAGGTATCACCATAGTGAGAAAATCAGCATGTTGTGGCCTCCTGGACAGTGAATCAGCCCCAATATTTTCTTTTCCAGCCTTATACACAAGAGTAAAATCAAAGGAAAGGAGTTTAAGGATGAGGCGTTGTTGGGTATTTGTTAAAATTCTTTGCTGTAGCAAATTCTTGAAACTGCTATGATCAGTCCTCATTGTAAAATGCCTCCCCAATAAGTAATGACGCCATTTTTGGAGTGCTAATACTGACGCCAAGAGCTCTTGATCATAAGCAAATTGAAACCTATTAGAGAAAGATAGCCCTTTGTTATAAAGAGCAATGGGATGGTCATTCTGCATAAGAATTGCCACAACACCATCCATGAAGGCATTACATTTTACAACAAACTCAGCAGTAAAGTTAGGAAGTTTTAAAACAGGAGCAATAATAAGATGACATTTAAGCCTCTCAAAAGCTCTCTGTGCTTCAGGTGACCAGCAAAAAGCATTCTTTTTAGTTAATTCAGTAAGGGGATGAGCAATAATACCATAGTTCATGACAAACTGTCAGCAATAGCCTGTAAGCCCTAGGAAGCCATGAGGCTTGGTCACATTGGTAGGTTTTGACCACTCACTCACAGTGCTTATCTTTTCAAAGTATGTTTCTACTCTTTGTGCTGAAACTTTATGCCCAAGAAGGATACACAAGTCTGTCCAAATTCACACTTCTTAAAGTTGGCATGGTAATGTTGTTGTTGCAGGGTGGTGAATGCTATTTGGAGGTGCTCTTCATGCTGCTTTGAAGTGGGACTATAGACTAGGATATCATCAAAGAAAACTAGTACAAACTTTTGAAGATAAGGGCGAAAAAGATCATTCATAGCTGCTTGAAAAGTAGCAGGGGTGTTTGTTGGTTTGAAAGGCATGATGACAAATTCATAGTGTCCACTATGTGTCCTGAATGTTGTCTTGTGAATGTCAACTGGTAGGACTCGAACTTGGTGGTACTCGGAGTGAAGGTCGATCTTAGAGAAATAAGTGGCACCATGTAACTCTTTTGAAAGCTCATCAATGTTGGGAATTGGGTATTTATTTGGGACCGTGATCTAGTTCAAAGCCTTATAGTATGCACAAAATCTTTCTTTACTAATAAGACTGGACTAGCAAAAGGGCTTGAACTTGGCTGTATGAAGCCTTTCTATAACAATTCATCTACTTGTTGCTCAATCTCAGTCTTCTGGAAGTAAGGATAGCGATAAGGACGCAAGTTAGGAGGTTGAGCCCCCAGTAGGAGATGGATGGCATGATAATGATCTCTAAAAGGCGGCAAGGTGGTGGGTTCATTAAACAAACTATCAAACTCCACCATGAGCTCATCCACATCTATTGACTGAGCATCTAGTGATCTCAATTTAAGCTCAGAAGAAAACATTGAGTGTAAACTTGCCTTTTGGTTGGTGGATGGAGGCACTCCTTGAAGCTTATACCTCTTACCATCAATCCAAAAAAAAAAACATTTCATTCCAGTTGGCTTGGATTGTGTTCAATGAGGCTAATCACTTAATTTCTAGGACTAAATCTGTTCCCGCAAGAGAGAAGGGGTAGGAGTCTTGCTTAAGAGTTAAGCCTACAAGTTTTACTTCCGCTTCTTTACATACCTTGTTGCAGTGAACAATTTTGCCATCTCTAATTTGAACTCCAAAAATGGACATAGAGCAAGTAGGCAAGCTTGGTTCTTGAACCAATAAATCAAAAATGAAATTATGTGTGGATCCACTATCCACAAGTAGCAAGACATCACGATTTTGCACTAACCGAGTTTCATAGTTGTTGCAGTGTTATTGCCTAGTATCGCATTAAACGAGATCTCTATAGTTTCTGGAATCTCATCTTCAGCTTTTGTAACAGCTTCGTTTTACTCAGATAGTGGTTGGCCATCCTCGTCGATCTTCATAAGAGAGAGAAGAGGTTTTGCAGCGATGCCCAGGCTGAAAAACATCCCCACAACGGAAGCAGAGACCTTTATCCCTGCAGTGTTGCCGTTCGAAGTCCGAGAGAGCAAGTCTAATCAGCGTTGTGCTTGTTGGATGGAGGTTTGAAGATGACGCGTTAGAGCTCCTAAGTTCTTTTGGTGTAAATGCTGAAGCTGTCCCTTGTGAGTCACGTGCAGAGTTATTTTGTTGGCTGAAATAAAAATTGGACTGATTTTGATCATAAGAAGTTGTGGGCTTGGGCCCATGTTGAAGTTGAGACATTTTATCGTATTCTAGGGCAAGACTTACTGCCTTAAACACAGTATGTGGCATTCGCACATCAACTCTCAATTCTTCCTTTAAGCCAATTAAAAAAACTCCAATAAGGCAATGTTTTGGCTAGTGAGAAACTCGGGTACACACTTGGCAAATTCTTGTCTATATTCTTGAATAGATCTCGTTTGCTTGATAGAACAAAGGTGCTCATTAGGATTCTGGAATTTAGGCGGTCCATAGTGCTCTTGCAAAGCCCTCATGAGTTCATCCTAGTAATCATCCTAGTAAAGTAAGGTGCGTGCTGAATTAATCCAAGAGAATAAATCCAGTGCATCTCCCTCTAAATTCATGGAAGCAACATCTACCTTCAAGTCTTCTGGTGTTTGATAATACTGGAAAAATTTTTCAGCCTTCAAAATCTAGCCTCGTTGGTCCCCTCTACTAAATTTTGGAAAATCCATTTTTGTATATGGTGGTCGTGGGCCTCTTTTGTCAAAATCATCTTCACTGTCTTCCTCCTAATGAGAGTGCCTATAATGACCTTCCATAGTTCGCCTGCCTCTACCATTTACAGAAGCCTCAAGTGCCTCTACCTTTTCTTTCAACAAATCCAAGCGTCTCTAATTTGGAAGCAATTACTGTTAATAGGTCATCTGAAAATGGGTTTACAGTGGATTCATTGCGTGGGGGGTTATTGGAGGAAGTGGCATTTGAATCTATAGTTTTGTTGCTTGAACGTGTGGTCACCATGTTGATCGAACGTAGCTTGGATACCAAATTGATAAGAACTTAGAATAGTAGGGATTAGGAAGAGTAATCTACTAAGTTAGCCAGAGCGAGGATCTCACTCTAAATAACTTAACAGCCAAGTAGGAGAATCTTCAAAGGAGTAATGGGTTTATTTTTCATTCATATCCTGCTGTGTATGAGAGCTTGGATATTTAAAATATAGGAGTAAAACTGAATAATTCAAATAATGCAAGATACTAGCCTAAAAATCAGGAACTACTATGCAGGAACCTTCCTAACAACCTTGAGGTCCTATTATTTAGCAACTAATACTTAAAACAGAATAACAATTAAAATAACAGCAATAATTAATTTAAATCAGATAAATCCCTTAAAACATGCATGACAGCATCAGTTTCAACTATCTTCCTCTTCTTTCTACGATGATAAGTTATTAGTGGTCTCCTAAGCTGACTTGGATCCTTATCACAAGTAGCTTTATGGTCAAATTTTTTTCATGCAAGAGATTGTTCTTTGACGGCCCTTTTATTCTATTATGCCTTTTAGCTAGAAGTAAATGATGCTTATTTTCATTTCAGGTTTTCCCTGTTAAAACAGAGCTATTGAGGCCCCAAGAGAAAATGGAAAGTCCCATAACTGATTTGGTTAAAAAGGTATCTGTAATTCCCCAACATTATTTTATCAATGTATCTGTCTATTTAATATGTTTAATTTGTAATTTCCCAACATTATTTTATCGATGTATTTGTGTATTTGATATGTTTAATTTGGTAATATACTAGGGGGTTTAAATAAGTTCTTGAATGCTATTGTAGAGCTTAGAAGATGCAACTGATGTGTAATTTCAAATGTTTATGGATTTTTTTTTAAATGAGTTTTGAGTCTTTTTTATGAACACGCTCCTCCACCAAAGAGCAGTAAGGAATTGTTTGGAATCATTGCAAGTGCTTTTTAACTAAAAAAATTTGTAAGCGCATTTTTGAATGGTTCTCTAAGGAGTTAGTTTATTTTTATTAATGTCAGGAACTGATTTATTTTATATTTTATATCTTGGATCCATTACCCATTGATCCCAAGCCACTGGGTAATTCAAGAAGGAATATTGATGTCAAGCATCTCTTGAAGGATTGCAAGTTGCTTGTTATGGATCACACCTTCAACTTCAAGTGCTTGAAGTGCTTCAAATTAGGTTGTATCATCTCCTTCAATTTTTCTTTCCCAAAATATTGCTAGTTGATTTTTGTGATTGGGAATTGTCTGGGGGGGTGTAATCCAGTAGAAAAAAAAATCATCCATTGCATTTAGGTTTTGTCATTTTGAAGCTTTCTTTCCCTTAGGTGTTGCTTTCATTTAGGTTGATAAGTCTATTTGCATTGAGGGTAATGTAGCATTTAAGTGTGGGGGGAAGTGTGTTTTAGGTCATTTGGCCAAAATTTTTAAAAAAATTTAAAAAACAGTTGTTTTGATATAAAAATTCTTAGTTTGATGAGATGCCAATGAGATTTGAAGTGTTAGACTTGGCTGTTTCAAGTGTAGCTAGGATAGGATAGAATGTTCTTACTTGGTTTGCTTGAGCTAGGGGATAACATAGCCCTGATGGAAGGTTATTTTGAACCTATATTGATTCCTTTCTAGTGTGCATTTTCCACTTATTCCATTTCATTCTCCAGAACTTGTTCTAATTCTTTATCAAGCCTACTTTTGCATATGCATTGTGAAAATGATCAAGGCATTCGTATAAAATAGCCAGTCTAGCCAAATAGCCAACCTAACATGATTATATCCTTTGCTAGCCACTTTGGGCCTGTTGATTATTTTCTTTCATTCCATTCATTATTTACACCCTCTTGCTTTCTAGGAATGCATGTTATGCTATATTTATTATTGTTGGGATTCATTTGCATGTCTAGTATTCAAGTTTTGGATGTTTTGAATTGTATAAAATATTTGATATGAATTTGAATGAATTGAAGGTGAAAGCTGAAATGATTGTTTTGCAATAGCCATAAAAAAAAAAAGAAAAGAAAACAAGGAGAAAAAGCCAAGAAAAGATTGTCAAAAAGAAAAGGAACAAGGGCGATACAGCTAGGAAGAAAAAGAAAAGAGAACAAGGCGAAAAAGTCAAGAAAAGATTGTCAAAAAAGAAGAGAGAAAAAGGCAATAGGCAATGTGAAAAAATGTTTAAAAAAATGGAAAGAAAAAACCAGGAAAAAGAAGAAAAAAGAGTTATTGCTTGCTTGGTTATGAATCACTTTGCTCTTAATTTATAGTATTATTGTATAATTTCCATGTCTTGAACCTAGCTCATGCTTATGAATCCCATGTCATTGGTTTGCTGGATAAATGTGTACATGTGTTATACCTTTTTCCTTTCCACATGCATTCTTACATCCACTTTCCACCCTTTACATTACAACCAAATGAAAGACCTTTTGATTCATGCATGCATTTTGCTGATAAGTGGTGGAGATTTAGAATTTTTACAAGCCTATGGTAGAATGATTGGATAAGTGGACTTGAGTGAAAATTTACCCCTAAACACTAGTGAGTTGAGAGTAAACACTTTTCCCTGTGTTGTTATTTGCCTATCCAAGTTTACTAGGTTTGCATTCTGAATATTCTAGTTGCATGAGGATCATTTCAGGTTGATCATGGAGAATTGAATTGGCATAATCATCATTTTGAGCATGATGAACTCATTTATGTTTTCTATATATATATATATATATATATATTTTAACTTCTTGAAATTTTGTCCAGGAGTGCAATAGCTATGTGTGGGGGATTTTGATGAGTGATATTTCATACCTATTTGTCACCCTCATTTTCCTTGGTTTTTGTCACTTAATCTTTACAAAAATAAGTGTTTAAACTATATCATACTATTCTTGATCAGGTACATCATAAATTTTATAATTTCTTAAAGCTAGCTAATTGCCATTCTTTTTTTAACTTGATGGGATTTTACTGATTTCACTTTAAATTTTTTCTTTTAAATAGGTATTATTCAATACAATTTTGGCTTGTTATTTTGTCATTTCTCTTTTTTTAACTTGATCCTCATACTTTCTCTTATTTTTCTTATTGACTTTGTTTATTTATTAATTTATTTTTATTTTGTGTTATTGTATAATCATTATTCAACTTTTATTTATTTGATAATATTGTTCAATTCAACAATAGAACATTTATTATTTTTGTCTTATTAGTGATTGTATTTTTGATTAATTGTTAATTATTATTAATGCAGTTGGTTTTGTATCCTTTTATGAATATTATTCGTCAGTGATGGAATATGTGATATTATTTGTCAGCGGCAAAGGCAATTTTTATTATTATTTTTTTTGCTTTCTAATAGGTACTATTTAATATAATTGGTTCTTTATTGTATAATTTTGGTTTGTTATTTTATCATTCTCTTTTTCACTTGATTCCCCATCTTGTTTATTATATTATTTTATTATACATTTTTTTAGCTCTTATTTTTCTTATTGATATTTTTTTTGTTTTTGTCTTAGTTTATTTATTAATTTATTGTGTGTTATTGTATAAACATTATTTGATGATGTTGTTCCTTTGATTACAATTCACTTTCAAGACTTATTTTTACTTATTTTTGGTCTTCATGTTTGTTCTTTATGGATTTTGTTTCTATAAATTTTGTCTTGTTAGTGATTGTATTTTCAATTAATTATTTTACCTAATAATTATTGCTTAATACAGTTGGTTTTGTATCTTTTTCATATGAATGATATTTGTTTTATTTCAAGACACATGGCATTCACCCATTTTCTCATTCCTGGTTGAACCCTTTTGTTTGCTCTTCTTTTCAATCCTTTAGACATGTCATGTCTGAGAATCATCATTTTTTCTTCCTTCATTATTTTGCTTATGACTTCAGCACCTCCTTGTCTCCTACTTCATTTTTTTCTTTCTTTGTCATCCCTAACTTCTATTGGCCAATGTTCTGACAATGGTGGGGTAGAGAAATCTACACTTGGTGCTCTGCTTAGTAGCTATAGTCTGACATGTGAGTTTGAGTCTGTTCTGTTTGTGTTTTTGGTTTTTCTTGGTCTTGTCTGTTTTCATGAAGTGTGTTTCTGGGTGTTGGAATGTGGGATAATTAATTTGTCATTTTAATTTGATGAATTGTAGATTGTGGAGGGGTTCATCTAGCGCCACTCACTACATCATACTTGTTGTTGACCAGGTAAATTTAACAATAATCAAAGATATTTTTACTTCGAGCTAGCTATTTACCGTTATATTTTTAACTTGCTTTTTATCTTTCTCTTGATTCCCTATCTTGTTCATTATATTATTTTATTATACATATTTTTATCTCTTATTTTTCTTATTGATAACTTATTTTTTCTGTTTTTGTCTTAGTTTGTTTTTTAATTTATTTTCATATTTATTTTGTGTTATTGTTTAAACATTATTCACCTTGTCCCCCACTTTTATTTTTTTCTCTCTGTCATCCCTAACTTCTATTGGCCAATTGGCAGAACAGAGCAATCACTTGATTTTTACACAGGGTGCTTTGCTTCAATAGCTACACTTGTGTGAGTAATTTGTTTTTTTTTCTTGGTCTTTGTTTGTTTCTGTGAAGTGTGTTCTTTTTAGGTGATGGAATGTCACATTTTAATTTGATGTCAAAATGTAGGTTTCAGATTGTAGATTGTGGTAAGGGCAATTTAGAGGGGGTGCATCAAGCACCACTCAACTACATCATACTTTGAAATTGAATGATGATTATACAATAACAATATGTAACAAATGAAGGAGATAGAACAATATCTATAATAAGAATAAATGAAAGAAAGTAAATTTGCATAGTGAAGAAAAAAGATATATAATTAAATGAATTAGCAATAAATCTCAACTTAACTGTGGTCATTCAGATTTTCAGGCAAGGACCCATCAGCCTACCAAGCTTGCATGGGTGATATGACACCAACAAGGGCGGAAACCCGCCTTCAACCATCATGAAGTAAAGCCCCTGGGTGCGATGCCTCATTATGGAGCGGTCCGACAATAGCTGGCAATGTATAGCTACAGGTTTGATCGACACTGATCCGGATTATAGCAAAACATGAAAGCAGTCTTCTTTCATATTGAGATTAACAAGTCGACAGTCTCAAAAGCTTGGCTGTAGACCTTTCTTCACAAAATCACTTCCTTCAACACAGCCTTCCTTCATTTCCTACTGAAGACGTAGCCATAACAACACATAACCAGTAACCTTACAGGATTTTCGCAATTGCCACAAGCTTGCCCTAGGCTGTCAACTCTTTTCAGGACTTTTCAGAGACTTGCCACTAGCTTGGCATGGGTTGTCAAGGCTTGTTCATGCCTAGGCAACATTTGCCACGAGCTTGCCCTTTGTTGCCAACAATTGCAACAAGCTTGCACGAGGTTGCGAATGCAGGGCCTTGTCAATGTGTGCCACAAGCTTGTCATGGATTGCTAATGCTTGTTCGTGCCTTGGTAACACCTGCCACGGGCTCGTCCTTCATTGCCAACAATTGCCACAAGCTTGCACTAGGTTGCCAACTCTTTCCAGGGCTTTCTAGACACTTGCCACTAGCTTGGCATGGGTTGCCAAGGCTCGTTCGTGCTTAGGCAAAATTTGCCGAGCTCGCCCTTCATTACCAACAATTGCCATAAGCTTGTACGAGGTTGCCAACACTGTCCAAGGCCTTCCAAATAGTTGCCACAAGCTTGGTATGGGTTGTCAACGCTTGTTCGTACCTAGGCAACACTTCCCACGAGCTCGCCTTTAGTTTTCCAACAATTGCCACAAGCTTGCACCTGACTGCCAATGCTTCCTAGGGCTTTCCAATGCTTGCCACAAGCTTGGCATGGTTGCCAATGTGCCTTTGCAGCGCTTGCCAGGGGTTCGCCCTTCGTTGTCAACAATTGCCAAAAGCCTGCACTAGGCTGCCAACGCTTTCCAAGGCCTTTCCAACACTTGTCACAACCTTGGCATTCGTGTCTTAGCAACACTTGTCACGAGCTCGTCATTTGTTGTCAACATTTGTCACAAGCTTGCACTTGGCAGATAACGCTGCCTAAGGCCTTCCAAATGTTTGCCACAAGTTTGGAATGGGTTACTAACGCTTGTTCCTGTAGCACTCGCCACGACCTTGTCCTTCCATGCCAACAATTGTCACAAGCTTGCACGAGGCAGCAAACACTTCCCAAGGCCTTGCTAATGGGTTGCCTGGTTGTGTCTTGGCAACACTTGTCACGAGCTCCTCCTTCATTGCCAACAATTGTCACAAGCTTGCACGAGGCTGCGAACGCTTCCTAGGGCCTTAACGTGTGCCACAAGCTTGTCATGGGTTGCTAATGCTTGTTACAACATCAGAACACTTCTCGGGCCTTGCTCACGACCTCGTCCTTGGTTGAAACGCTTGTTCGTGCTTTGGCAACACTTGCCACAATCTCGTTCTTGGTTGCCAACAATAGCCACAAGCTTGCAAGGGCCATCCAAAACATTTACCACATGTTCATGCCTTGGCAGTACTTGTCACGTCCTTTGTTGCCAACAATTGTCACAAGCTTGCATGAGGCAGCCAACACTTAAGGCTTGCCATGGGTTGCCAACACAAGATTGCGCGAGGCTGCAAACGCTTCCCAGCATTAGCTACCGTGTGCAAGCTTGTGGCAATTGTTGGCAAGGAAAGACAAGGTTGTGGCAAGTGCTGCCAAGGCAAGAACAAGTGGTAACTCATTTCAAGCTTGTGGCAGTTTGGAAGGCCTTGGTAGCTCTTGCCACGAGCTCACCCTTCGTTGCCAACATTTGCCACAAGCTTGCATGAGGCTGTCAAAGCTTCTCAAGGCTTTGCCAATGCTTCCTACAAGCTTGGCATGCGGTGCCAACGATTGCTCGTGCCTTGGCAGCTCTTGCCACGAGCTCACCCTTCGCTACCAACATTTGCCACAAGCTTGCACGAGGTTGCCAAAGCTCAAGGCTTTGCCAATGCTTCTTACAAGCTTGGCATGCGGTGCCAACGATTGCTCGTGCCCTCTTGCCACGAGCTCACCCTTCGCTGCCAACATTTGCCACACACTTGCACGAGGCTGCGAACGCTTCCCAAGGCCTTGCCAACGCGTGCCACAAGCTTGGCAATGTTAGGAGTTCATCCTTCATTGCCAACATTTGCCACAAGCTTGCACGAGGCTTACCACCAGGGTTGCCAACGATTGCTCGTGCCTTGGCAGCTCTTGCCACGAGGTCACCCTTCGAGGCCAACATTTGTCAAAAGCTTGCGCGAGGCTGCCAACGTTTTTCTGGGGCTTGCAAATGCTTGCCAAAAGGTTGGCATAGTACGAGCTCAGCTTTCGTTGCCAACATTTCCCACAAGCTTGCACGAGGCTGCCAACGCTTTTCAAGGCCTTGCCAACGCTTCCGACCAGCTTGGCATGGGGTGCTGCTCGTGCCTTGGCAGCTCTTGTCACGAGCTCACCCTTCATTGCTAACATTTGCCAGAAGCAAGAAGCTGCCAACGCTTCCCAGGGAATGCTTGCCACAAGCTTGGCATGGGGTGTTAACGATTGCTCGTGCCTTGGTAGCTCTTGCCACAAGCTCACCTTTCGTTGCCAACATTTCCCACAAGCTTGCATGAGGCCGCTTTAAGCTTGGCATGGGTTGCCAACGATTGCTTGGCAACTCTTGCAATTGCTAACATTTGCCCTTGAGGCTGCCAACACTTCTTAGGGCCTTGTCAATGCTTTCAACAAGCTTGGCATGGGGTGCAAAAGCCTTGATAGCTCTTGCCATGAGCTCACCTTTCGTTGCCAAACATTTTCCAGAAGCAAAGGCTGCCAACGCTTCTTAGGGCCTTGCCAATGCTTCCCACAAGCTTGGCATGGGGTGTCAACGATTGCTCATGCCTTGACAGCTCTTGCCACGAGATCACCGTTCGTTGCTAACATTTGCCACAAGCTTGCACTGCCCATTGCTTACCACAAGCTTGGCTGCAGAAGATTGCTTGTGCCTTGGCAACTCTTGCCACGAGCTCACCCTTCGTTGCCAACATTTACCAGAAGCAATCATGAGGCTGCCAATGCTTCTAGGGCCTTGCCAATGCTTCCCTGCTTGGCATGGAGTGCCACCAATTACTTGTGCCTTGGCAGCTCTTGCCACGAGGTCACCCTTCGAGGCCAACATTTGCCACCAGCTTGTGCGAGGCTGCCAACGCTTCCTAAGCACTTGCCAACGTTTGCCACATGGGGAGCCAATAGTTGCTCGTTCCTTGGCAGCTCTTGACACAAGCGCCCCCTTCGTTGTCAATATTTCCCACACGCTTGCACGAGGCTGCCAATGTGCGCTTGCCACAAGCTTGGCATGGGGTGCCATCAATTACTCGTGCCTTGGAAGCTCTTGCCACGAGCTCATCCTTCGTTTCCAACATTTGCCACTTGCACCTAATGCTTTCTTGCCAACGCTTCCTACAAGCTTGGTATGGGTTGCTAATGATTGCCCGTTCCTTGGCAGCTTTTGCCACGAGCTCACCCTTCATTGCCATCATTTACCACAAGCTTGCACGAGGCTGCCAATGCTTCTCAGGGCCTTGCCAACGCTTGCCATAAGCTTTGGCATGGGGTGCCATCCTTGGAAGCTCTTGTCGCGAGCGCACCCTTCGTTTTCAACATTTGCCACAAGCTTGCACAAGGCTCCCAACGCTTCCCAGGCCTTGCCAATGCTTCCCACAACCACAAGCTTGGCATGGGTTGCTAATGATTGCTTGTTTCTTGGCAGCTTTTGCCACAAGCTCACCCTTCATTGCCATCATTTACCACAGCTGCCAACGCTTCCCAGGGCCTTGCCAACGCTTGCCACAAGCTTGGCCTGGGGTGCCAACGATTACTCGTGCCTTGGAAGCTCTTGCCGCGAGCTCACCCTTTCCAACATTTGCCACAAGCTTGCACAAGGCTTTCAACGCTTCCCAGGGCCTTGCCAACGCTTCCCACAAGCTTGGTATGGGTTGCTAATGATTGCCCGTTCCTTGGCAGCTTTTGCCACGAGCTCACCCTTCATTGCCATCATTTACCACAAGCTTGCACGAGGCTGCCAATGCTTTCCAAGGCCTTGCTAATGCTTGCCACCAGCTTGGCATGAGTTGCCACTTGTGCCTTGGTAGCTCTTGCCACGAGCTCACCCTTCGTTCCTAACATTTGCCACAAGTGCCAACGCTTCGTAGGGACTTGTCAATGCTTGCCACAAGGTTGGCATGGGGTGTCAAGGATTGCTCGTAGCTCCTGATACAAGCGCCCCCTTCATTGCCAACATTTGCCACAAGTTTGCACGAGGTTGCCAACGCTTCTGAGGGCCTTTGCCAATGTTTTCCACAAGCTTAGAATGGGTTGCTACCGATCTCGTTCTTTAGCAGCTCTTAGAACGAGCGCCACCTTCGTTGCCAATATTTGCCACAAGCTACCAACGCTTCATAAGGCCTTGCCAACGCTTGCCACAAGGTTGGCATGGGGTGCCAACGATTGCTCGTTCCTTGGCAACGCTTGCCACGAGGTCATTCTTCATTGCCAACATTTGCCACAAGCTTGCAAGAGCCTGCCAACGCTTCCTAGGGACTTGTCAATGCTTGCCTTGGCATAGGGTGTCAAGGATTGCTCACGCCTTGGCAGCTCCTGATACAAGCGCCCCTTCATTGCCAACATTTGCCACAAGCTCGCACGAGGTTGCCAACGCTTCTGAGGGCCTTGCCAATGTTTTCCACAAGCTTTAGAATGGGTTGATACCGATCGCTCGTTCTTTAGCAGCTCTTAGAATGAGCGCCACGTTGTCAATATTTGCCACAAGCTTGCACAACGCTTCCTAAGGCCTTGCCAACGCTTGCCACAAGGTTGGCATGGGGTGCCAACGATTGCTCGTTCCTTGGCAACGCTTGCCATGAGGTCACCGTTCATTGCCAACATTTGGCACAAGCTTGTACGATCTTCCCAGGGACTTGCCAACCCTAGCCACAAGGTTGGCATGGGGTGCCAACGATTGCTCATGCCTTGGCAGCTCTTGCCAAGAGCTCACCTTTCATTGCCAACATTTGCTAGAAGCTTGCACGAGCCTGCCAACGTTTCCTAGGGCCTTACCAATGCTTTCCACAAGCTTAGCATGGGTTGCCAACGATTGCTTATGCCTTGGCAGCTATTCTCATGAGCTCACCCTTCATTGCCATCATTTGCCACAAGCTTGCACAAGGTTGCCAACGGCCTTGCTAATGCTTGCCACAAGCTTGGCGTGGGGTGCCAACTATTGCTCGTGCCTTGGCTGCTCTTGCCACGAGCTTACCCTTCGTTGCCAAAATTTGCCACAAGCTTGCAAGAGCCTGCTAACGCTTCCCAAGGACTTGCCAATGCTTGCCATAAGGTTGGCATGGGGTGCCAAGGATTGCTCGTGCCTTAGCAGCTCTTACACGAGCGCCCTGCCAACATTTGCCACAAGCTTGCACGAGGCTGCCAACGCTTCCGAGGGCCTTGCCAATGCTTTCCACAAGCTTTGAATGGGTTGCCATCGATTGCTCATTCCTTGGCAGCTCTTGCCACAAGCGCCACCTTTGTTGCCAACATTTGCCACAAGCTTGCACGAGCGCTTCCCTGGGCTTTGCCAACGCTTGTCACAAGCCTGGCATGGGTTGACACCGATCGCTCGTTCCTTGGTAGCGCTTGCCACGAACACCTTTGTTGCCAACATTTGCCACAAGCTTGCACAAGACTGCCAACGCTTCCAGGGACTTACTAACGCCTGCCACAAGGTTGGCATGGGGTGCCAATGATTGCTCGTGCCTTGGCAGCTCTTGCCACGAGCTCACCCTTCATTATCAACATTTGCCACAAGCTTGCATGAGCCAGCCAACACTTCCCAGGGCCTTACCAACCCTTGCCACAAGGTTGGCATAGGGTGCCAACGATTGCTCGTGCCTTGGCAGCTCTTGCCACAAGCTCACCTTTTGCCAACATTTACCACAAGTTTGCACGAGCCTGCCAACGCTTCCCAGGGCCTTGCCAACGCTTGCCACAAGCTTGGCATGGGGTGCCAACGATTGCTCATGCCTTGGTAACTCTTGCCACGAGCTCACCCTTTGTTGCCAACATTTGCCATAAGCTTGCACGAGCCTGCCAACACTTCCCAGGGCCTTGCAAACGCTTGCCACCAACTTGGCATGGGTTGCCAACGATTACTCGTGCCTTGGCAGCTCTTGCCACCAAATTTGCTACAAGCTTGCACGAGCCTGCCAATGCTTTCGAGGGCCTTGCCAGCTTTCCACAAGCTTGGCATGGGGTGCCAACGATTGCCCGTTCCTTGGCAGCTCTTGCCACGAGCTCACCCTTCTTTGCCAATATTTGCCACAAGCTTGCACGCATCCCAGGCCCCTTTGCCACAAGCTTGGCATAGGTTGCCAACGCTTGTTCGTCCCTTAAAATTGCCATGTGCTCCTCCTTCATTGTCAACAATTGCCGTAAGCTTGCACAGGCCTACCAACGTTTTCAAGGCCCTTGC